CCAGATCGAGGCGGGCTATCCCGTGGCGTGCCTTTGCCGCGGACTACGTGAGGTCCTTACTTAATCGTTGATAATTGGCGACGGCGGCATCATGGTGCAGATGGTGGATAAATGCTCTCGCGTTTCTTGGTGCTGACTGTGGACATATCGGCGGGAGATGGGGAGATAGTGGCGGGAGATGGTGCTCATTAACCGTTGCTTGATATCAGTACAAATGTATACGGATCCAAGCATTACTGCGATTGATCGACATCTCTTCCAAAAGATAATAACCTGGGACTCAAGCAAAGCATAGGGATTGATTGTGCTGGCGTCATGAAGCGGCCGATGGGATACAGCTCGAAAAACCATGCAGATCGCTCGTCGAAAAGCGGTGCAGTTGGAAAACGGCTCAGATGGGAGATTCTGATGGGGCTTCATCCAAGAGCTCCCACATTGTTAAGTTTGTGCTTCTGTGCAAGTTCTGAGGGCCAGCCGATATGGCAGCCTCTGGCTTGGCTTCAGTGCAGGTTGAAGTGCAAGCTGAACGGCAGTATCCGGACAGGTTACGGTCCATAACCGTGCCATGAACGGCAGCGTGAATCCTCAGCCACGGGGCCTGCTGAAAGTAATTCAAGGGTTCCGTAAGGGGCTCCCTCATGGTAAACATAGCAACCTTCCGCGCGCAGGCCTGGTATTTTGTTTACATTTGCCCGAAATCGAGCGAGACGTCAAGCCGGACATCCTGGACCAAAAGATCCTCAAGTTACTGTTGCAGCACAGCCACAGCCATGTGTGGCCGTGCACGTTCGATGTGGCCCGGGCTGCTGACAAAGAATGTACCCAAAGTCGGGCAGCTCGTCACCTGCTAACCCCCCCTCTGCTGCCCGTCAAATCCGGTGCAGGAAAAGGTCCTTCGCAAACCAGCACGAGCAAAATACTGGCGATCTGGCGAGCACAGGTTGAGTGTCGCATCGCAGCTGAGAACCGAGTTTTCTTGCAACGCCCCCTTTTCCTCGTCGCGTCAGGTATCCCAAGACGTGGATCCGTATCCATACTCGGATCCGACATAAGCATCCATGCCCGGGCCGATCATGCCATGCCGGTACCCACCTTCGCGCGCAACGCCGCAGTCCACCCCACTGGCAGAATAGACCGGCGGAACAGTAACGGGGATCTCACGCACTTTGCTTGGTGGCGAGCTCCAGCGCAAATGGCCGTGCACAATCAATCTGGTCTGGGGCTGCTGACAAAGCATGTGCCCAAAGTCGGGCAGCTCATCAAGTGTCTCCACTATTATGTAATCATTGACCCCGGAACGAAGACAGCGTCCATGGCGCGCACCCGGACTACATCCCATGCTTTGGGCGACTACGACGGCGCCGAGGGCATTTACAAAAACGTCGACGACCACTTCTCACTTGAACCGGTATTTCCCGTCATCGCCTCCATACTCTCCCGCAGCGGCCGTTGGGGTTTCAAGCGATGTGGCGATGCCCTGGGCCCCAAGATCGAAAGGATCAGCCCCGGGGGCCTCAAGGAGCCCCCGTCTCCAATTTCCAGGATGCCACAGTAGCTGCCATCATTTTCAACTTGCCCCGCGCCTGCGTGTGCTACATTCGCAAGGCTCTCCCATTCTTAGACGAGGTTGAAATAATTCAGCTTGACGAGTCCTTGCAGAATCTCTCTAACTGCGTGTTGCTGTAACTGAAGATGCAGGTCGGGCTGTCGGTGCATGAGTCTTGGAAGTGTGATAAAGATCAAGTGGAAGATTGGGTGCTGCTGACAAAGCATGTGCCCAAGGTCGGGCAGCTCGTCCCGTCCATCTCTTGCAGTCCAGCCACATGTGGCTGTGTACGTCCGATCGGGGCGGGGCCCAGGCTGCTACTGACGGAGCATGTGGCAGTGCATCACGTGCCCTCGCTCCTACCGCCCCGCGCCCGGTAAACCGAGCACTCCCTGGACCTGGGTACGTACCTAGGTGCTCCCTCAGACGGTGCGAAAACGGGACGATCCCCACTGGCACTGGGAGCGTCACAATCGTCAATCCAACGACGCCGACAGCCATGTTACGACCAAGACTACGCCGAATGGTGCTGCTAATCAACTACAATTTTGTCGAATAAGGCCTACTCGAAAAGCACTGGTTCAACAAATCGAGATGCTACAAGTGCGTCAAACGAATGCGATGACTTCCAATCCACCACATCCATCTGTTCGTTGGGGGCGCTATCGCGTTGGCAGATGGCGTCTTTCGTTGTCTTGGCTGAGCACAAGGTCTCCGACATCAGAATTCTGTAAGTTGTGACGGTCCGCGAGATGTCAAGTAAGTATTAATCAAGCGCAGAGATCGAGGCCAAGACAGGCCGCTGCACGAAGGGTGTCTTCGCCACGCTGAATTTGAGTTACTGCATGCGCGGGCTGTGACGTGCCAGCGACAATGACATCGACGTCTTTCTCGTGGTTCTCGAGGCTGCGAAAAAGGCATTCGCTCCGTATGGCAATGCCGTGTGTTTCCGGAAGATAGATGTTGAGGGTGACAGGGACGTACGAGCTGAATGTTGCATACCAAGTGTTGCGCGCCATCAGCGTGATCCGGGAGACCAACTTCTTATCATCGACCAACTTGGGACAGCGTGGACTTGCAGTTTATCTTTGTATTCCTGCCTGGCTGGTGGTTGAGTATGCCTGCTTCACGTCTTCTTCTCTCCTTCCCTCGAAGGTCGTTCACTTCCGTTATTCGCTAACACGGCTTGATGCATATTCAGGTACGTACCGAAGATGGCTGCCGATCTAACAGTGCGCATCCCTGTCTTGCCGATGTTCAATTGAAGTAAACCTGCTTGAACAAGACATCTCTCGAGGTTCACAACAACGAGGACGACAGTCTGTGCTCCTTATCAGCCATCACAGCCAAATACATCGACCTCGAAGCGGTCCCGAAGATGATCTTTCAATTGTCCACGGCGAGTCCATGCCGCCCGCAGGTTCAGACCGATGAGGTGTTGTTGGTAGCTTGCGACGGATCTGTTGAGTGCGACAGCCCTCAGGATAGTCTCCAAGCCGATCTATCGCGGAGCCTGCAAATCAAGTACGCAGATTAACAGTTCGTCGCCCTCGACTTGAGCCCTGTGGATCAACATTTGGCTAACAACGCGACCGTGGCGCAAGATTTCGTTACACACCGTGGTAGTGGCAGGCTCGGTGGCATGCAACAACAAGCTCGAATGAGCCAGGCGCGACTTCGAGTTGCTCTGCCCCCGCATACACAATGATGCAGACAAGAACGAAAAATTGCCCTCAAACACTGAAGAAACCCGCCATCCGCCAGCCTCTCCAGCAACCGGCTAGGATCAAGGCGTTGTCGACTGTGCAGCTCTTCTCAACATTCTCTATTTCACAGAGTCGCCTCTTCCTCATGATCTCCCGGACCAAGACTGCGTCGAGATTCAGCCGCTGGCTTTCGAGCTCGACTTCCGCAACGTCATGGTCGCTCTGAACAGACACTGAACAGACAGACGAGTCCGTCACAGGGGTCGAATCCTCCGGGACCATCAGACGGCTAGGTACTAACGCCGACAAGCAGAGAAACCTCCGGGTCGACAACCGCGTATGCATAGCGCTCCGCGGGCACTGAGCCAGCCGCATCTACTCGCACTGGCTTTGTGTCGTGCGCCTCCCAGACGACACTCGCTTCGAGATGGACTTCAAAGATCGTAATGGCATTCATGGTAGCACAAATGGATCTCCACGGTTCGGGGCGTCTAGCACGCGGCGACAAGGTTATCCTCCACACGGCGGCTTGTAGCCTCGCTATCCGTGATTGTCGCTCAACAACAAACCGACGCCGGGTTTTTTGTGACGCGGAGCCCGGACCCCAAATGCCGTTTCCTCACTGAGAAGTTGTCGATTCGCCCGAGAAACCCTTTTCTCCAGCCGCGATCCAAGCTCTGCTGAGAGCATCCGGCGCAAACATCAGTACTGAGTTACAGTTTCGTTTGGACTGAAAGCCGGCATTGAGCCACAGTTTCATGGCTGGCTTGATCGCTCTGGGCAGGCGGAGAAGCGAAGCCGTCCGCGGACCTTTGACCAAAGTCATGGGCGTCGAGGAAATCACGAGCACATCATTTAGGCCGCGTGTACCCTGGTAACGCTATCTTCTCATTCCCTCTCAGTGCCTCCAGGGATTGCCTCTCAGAGCGCTTGATTATTGCAATGCTAACTAGCGTGTGTCGTGCAGGTTGTATCGCGAGCCACCCTGAGCCCAGATGCCACCTAAGTGTAGTGCCCCGAGCAGCTTCGATCCGCAAGACGCTTTGCAAGTATTTTGTTGGACAAGGCACCCGATTATTGCTCCTCGTCTCCCGCAGCGCGCCAAGGTAGACCAGACCTTCATCAACATGCCGCAGCGTGCAGTGTGCACCGTCCGTGTCGTCAGTCCAGACATCTTTGACGCGTTTGTTGAGATCAACATAGGAGAAAGTCGAAGAGACGTATCCCCGAGTCAGGGTACAACCCAAGTCGGAATTCCACTGAGGGCATGGATTCCTTTCTGCAGGATTGTGCTGACGCTTCGCTACTCGTTAGGACTTCACCTTGAAGCAAACAGATCTCAACAATCATAAGACCACCTTCCAATCCAAAGCGCTGGGTCGCAACGCTCTTTTCTCGAACCACAGCCTCGACTCCTTCATCATACTCTTCTCGATTGCCGGCATAGCAGGCTCTACAGCCAGAACAAGCAACCACACTACCGGCCTTTTCCAGGAGACCGGCATATAACACCGCTAATACCGGGATCTGCCCACCTTCTCGACAGACTGAAGCGTGGTAAGGTTATTAGCTACGGGGCTGAGAACAGAGGGATTACCGAATGGCCCGTCAAGATGGGATTCCAGCCCACCGTTGAGGGCAAGGTCTTGCGCGTGGTCAAGTCTGCCATCGTCTATCCCGGCGGTCGGACGTAGATTATCACGAACATCGAAATGGCCTGAGGGCCGCACTGGGAGGAGCAGCCGTGGATGCAGGACCGGCGGCTCAGCGCGCTCCACACCAGGCGATTCGATGGACCTTCTGGTGGTCAACATATGGTTGGCGACGCTACCGACATCCACAATCCCGGAATGCCGCTTTCTGTGGCCGATACGACAACAGTGGCGGTCCACTTCGCGCAGGCAGCCTCCCAGTGGAAGCTTAGCGGCATATTTCTCACCAGTGTGGAAGATATCATGGAGCTCCGGCCACTTGGTGAGTATGGTTTCGACTCACTTGTGGCAGTCGAGTTCCGGACATGGCTGGCAACGTATCTGGGTCCGACCTCGTCTGTATTTGAAGCGATCCAGAGCTGGCTATCGGCAGCTCTGACTTCACATGGTCGTCAGTGCTCTCACCTGGATATGGCCATGTCTCTTTGTTGCCCAGAGCGATAGGGATAACGTGGCGTTAGTGACGTCCTGTTTGGCATGAATGAGCTACACATCAGCATACACGCAAAAGTTGGACTGCTTAAGCGTCTACTCCATCGAAGTTTCCAACAACAACCAGTACGTTCCCCGCAAAGCTCTCATAGATCTCGAGTCAACCACCACTCCATCGTTTACACTGCTTGCTTATTGAGAGATGCCACGTTGGAGTCAGGTCCAGTGGGATGACATGCAGTAGGTCGAAGCCGATGCCTTTTAAATTTGATCCACAGCCGTCCAAATGCAGGGAAACCTCAAGTTTGCCATGATCATGGATTGCTCCATCCAAGCTTCTCTTAACCTTCCATACCACCAAGCTAAAACCCTGCTCTGAAACGTTAACTGCAAAAAGGACAAGTACACCGAAGAGAGAATTAGGGGTTTTTATACGGAAGAACTATCTCTAAAAGCAGCGGCCAGAGAAACCGGTAATATTACGACCTAATATAAGACTAGGGCGTGCCCCACTAGCACCTAGTAACTATAGCGCATTATATATATAGGACGGGACAGAATATTAAAAAAACCCTAAGAATAAAAGAACTATAATATAAATTATATAATAATAAAAAATAAGAATATTTTAAATATACGATATATTTAACTAAGCTAAGGATATATAAAATATACTAAATATTTAATATATCTAAATAAAAAGACTATTTAACTTTATTTAGTTAAAAATAAAACTTATATATAATATAAACTTAAGCCAGGCTTAAAAATAAACTTTTATAGCTTTTTAGTAATTAATTTAGTATTAAATTTTACTTTTAGCTATTTTTATTAAGAACCCTTTTTAATAAAATTATAATTAATTATTAAAACCTTACTTATTTTATAATTTATAAATATAGTTTTAGAAAAGCTATTACGATTATAATACTATTTATTTAATATTTATAACCTTAACTTTTATTAATATACTTATTATAACTAACTAGTTATAATATTTTAATTACTCTTATTTAATAAGTTTATTTTAAAAAACTAACTAAATAATATAAATAATATTTTCTTATATTTTAACTAAATTACTTATTCTGGGCTTTTTATTTTTTTAAGTAACCTATTTAAAACCTAGTTAAAGAAATAAAAATAGTTTTAATAAATATTAATTTTAATAATAAGGTTATTTTTAAAAACGTTTATAAACGACTTTATAAAAAGTTAAAAAGGGGACGTAAATATTATTAAAATATAAACTATATATAATAAAACTATAAATAGCTTTAAAACTTTAAAATTATAATTTAATAGTTTAAAAATAGCTCTTAGCATATTTAAAACCTAAAAACGAAGTTATTTAACTTAAAAAATAAAAATAAGTACTAATATTTAAACTTTTAAAAGAAATTAATACTTTCCGAACTATTATTAATATTATTAATACCCTATTTAGAGAGGATAATAAAACTTAAGCTTAGCGTACTTATTATTTATAATAGTACCCTAAATATTTTCAAAGGATTTTTAATTTAAATTAAAAATTATTAAAACTTTTATTATAAAGATTTTATTAATAAAACTAAAAAGTTATATACGCTATTAATTTCTTTAAAGAACGAGCCCTTAAATAGTTTAAACTTATTTAAAAAAATACTTTAATAAAAAGACTTTTAATAAGTGCTCTATTAAAGTATATAATATTTACTATAGTTTTAATAAATTTAAAAAGCTCTTAGGTCCTTATTCTAAAATTTTAATAAAAATAATAAGCTAAATATAACCTAGTATAATTATAATAAACTAAATTAATAAAAAAATATTTTACTAAATTTAAATATTTTAATACCTAACTAAACCTTATTAATAATATTAAAATATTTATATTTTATTAAGGACTAAAAATAAAGTTAAAAATAAACTAATTAAGCTTAATAAACTAAAAACTTTTTTAATATAATAAACTTATTATTAAAATTAATAACTAATTTTACAAATATAAAAAAAAAAGAACGACTTAATACTAAATATAAATATTAATAATAATCTTAATAAAGTTTTTAAATAAATTAATAACCTTATAATAATTAAAATAATAATTAATAAAGTACTACCTACGGATAATATAATAACTTTATAAACCTTAGTATTATTAAAAAGAAAATAGCTATTTTAAAAAGACTTTAAGTATTATAATTACGATAAGCTAGGATATATAGCTAGAGACTATTAATAACCTAAGTATATTTAATATTAACTTATCCTAAAAACGAGTTAATGTTATAAATAAAGAAGTCCCCTATATATAACTCTTATAAACGGCTTATTATAATAATAACTACCTTATTTATTAAAATAATAAAGAATAAATAAAATACTATCTAAAAAACCTAAGAACTATAGATAATTAAATACTACCTTATATATTAAAACCCTAGTAATAATATATTACGACCTAATACGTATAATAAAGCTAGGGCCTGCCCCATAGGACCTATAGCGGCTATTATATTATATATATAAGAGTACGAACTTAGAGTAACTCTTTTTAAAATAAAAGAACTATAAAATAAATTACGTAATAATAAGAAATAAGGAACTCTATATATTTAAAATATAAAATTTATCTTTTATAATACAACCCGTATATTTAGAATACGGAACTATTAAATAAATATATAAATAAAAATATATTTAAGAACAAGACTTATATATAATATAAACTTAAGCTAAGCTTAAGAATAAACTTCTTATAGCTTTTTAGTAATTAACTTAGTATTAAATTTTATAATTACTTTTAATTATTTTTATTAAGTACCCTTTTAATAAGTATAATTAATTATTAAAGCCTTACTTACTTTACGACTTATAAATATAGCTTTAAGAAAGCTATTTATAACTATAATACTATTTATTTAGTTATTATAGCCTTAACTTCTATTAATATACTTATTACAACTAGCTAGCTATAATATAATAACTAAGAAAAAAAATACTTATATACTAACCTCTTACCCTTAAAAATAATAATATTAAATATATTACTATTCTCTTATAAATTTATAAAAATATAAAAAAAGGGTTAAAATAGACCTTATTATAAAAATACTTTTATCTTTTTAAAAATTATATAAAGGCTCTAAATAAGTATAAAAATAACTTTTTAAATTTAAAAAAGACCTGATATAAAAAAATTATAAGTAACCTCGTTTATATAATATAATAAGATAATAAGAAATAATCCTTAAAAAAAGGGACCCTAATTAGATAATATCCTAACTAAGTCTATTTATATAATATAATAAGATAATAAAATAAAAATTTATTTATAAAGTTAAAAATAGCTTAAGGACTTAGAATGTAAAAATAGAATTAAAATAATTAAGAGGCCTAACTTTAATTTTAAAATTAAAAATAAAAATAAATTTCTAATTTAAAAAAATAAACTTAAGATTAGCTTTAATAATTATATTTTTAATAAAGAATTATTCTATAATTTAAACGAACTTCGTAACGTTACTTAATAATGTATTTAAATAAAGATTGACTATAAATTTTATTTTAATATAAATAATACTAGTTTTAATAAGGAACTTAAAAACTATAATATAAAAACGTTAACTTATATAAAAATAACTAAATAATATAATTTTAAAAAATATTTATAATATTACTAATTAAAGGAAATAGCTCTTTACTTAATACTAAGAATACATTCTATAAAAATTATTTTAAATAAAATACTTTAATAATAAGTACTTTTAATATCTTTTATTTAAAAAATAGTTAATTTTATTTTTAAAAATATAATAATTAACTTATTAAAGATATTTATATTAACAATTAGTTACTAAATTAGATACTTATATACTTTAATAAACTTAATAAAATAATATTTAAACTAAACCTATATTTTTTATATAATATTAAAATAGCGATTATATAAAATAAGATAAATATAAGTACAATTATTATTAAATTTATTATATTTTTAAATTATAAACTTAGAAGGAACGAGAGGAATAAATTAAATAAAAAGTATAACTAAGGAATAGATTTTTAAAAACTAATTAAATTAATTATAAAAGAACGACGAAAAGTAAAAACTAAGAATAAGTTCTTATATATAATTAAGTAATATAATAACGTATATTTATAAATTAAACTCGAAATATACGGATATAAACTACGTATTATAATTAATAGTAGTATATAAAGAAGTTTTATATTACTAAGAGTAATAAATAAACTCGATTTATTATAAATATAAAAAGTAACTTATATAAATTATAAATAGTAAAAAGAGAAAAGTTAACTATAATAATAGATATATTAATCGAGAGACTATATACTTTTAATATATATTAACGATTAATAAGAATAACTATAATATAATATTATAGAAATTAAAAACTTCGATATTATTTTAAGAATTTCGTAGTTATAAAAATATAATTTATAAGTAAATTAAATTACTAGCTAGGTTTTAAAAAAATTTAGTTACTAAACGATTTAAAAAAAAGAGTTTAAATAGATTTTTAATAATTCCTAAAGAACGAAAATAAATACGATATATAGTTTTTATTAAAATAATAAAAGTTATAGGGCGTTTATATATAATAACGATGATTAGGGATTATAATAATTTTAAATTATATTTAAGAAGTACTATATATACTTAAAACTATTTATAAAACTTAAAGAAATAGGATTATTAAAATATAGTAATTAGGATATAAAAATCGAACTTAAAAAGGAATATAACTTAGGTTCTATTTAATATACTTAATAAATTAAAAGAATAAGAATATTTTAATAAATATATTAATAAGAAGCTAAAAGGGATATTTAATTATTAAATTTTTATAAAATTCCCTTATTTTTATATTAAAGAAAAGGAAAAATCGAGACTTATTATTAACTATAAAAACTTAACGAAATTATAAAAAGAATTATTACCTTATTACTTATTACTGAGCTTAGAGATTTATTTTATAGAGCTAATTAGTTTATTATAATAA